GGGGTTCACATCAGTGTCTGAACATGGAGGCAGTTAGATGAAAGTGAGAAATGAGACAAACATATTGTGAAATGTAGTTGTTCTACATACTCCTAATGGGTTCCCATAATACCTAATCACTGCTGTAATGGCCTCTTCAGTGGCTGACAATGAGTGGGAAAAGGCAGCATTTAAAGTGTGCTTGGTTTTAATTGCCACTGCTCCGCAAAATAGCTGTATTTAATATTTCAAAAGCTCAAACAGAAGAAAAAGAATGGAACCCTAATGAAATAAATAGAAATCTAAAAGTTTGGAACTTTGCTCTCTCTTTTGACCTACAAACTGCTAATCTACTGAATAGCATCTTGTGTTTGGTTTGATGGAAAAGTCATTTGCCTCTGGCCCTTTCATTCTCAATGGGAGCTTGTGACATTGGTGCTCCTGTGTTCTAATAATACCTCGGTGGTGTGATGTGGCTAAGTGTAGAGAACGCATTGTTGATGCCTTCCTCTGCATCAAACTCAGACAAGCCAAGGACTTGTACTGTGAAACACCAGATACAGCATGTGCCACTCCGGTGGTCCAATGTTCAAAATTTCCCCGAAATGAAATATTTCTATTCTAAATGTATTTGTTTTGTTGTCGTTTTTCAAACAGTTTTCCTATCCATAAATTCCAAAACAGACAAATGTTCAATAGATACAGTTGTGGCTACATTATTGTTATAAACAAGTTAATTGAACCCCATTTACAAAGCATTAGGGTGAGAATTTTGGAAAACATTCATTTTTGGAATGTTTTGCCAGTTTGTGCCAATAAACAAATCCCTTTCTTTACACTATGGGAGAGTAGTAAATTACAGATTTCTCAAATCTTACTCTGGCTTTAGGAAAAATATGTTTTTATTCAAGCATGGCAATAGTTCTCTACTGATCAAAGCAAAAGCAAACTTAATAAAAATGAGAAAAATCCAAATATGACAAACACGAAAAACACATTCATGTGTTCCTTTGCTCACAGTAGGACAGCCTGATAACAAACTGATGTCAGAAAGTAAATATTTGCCCATTTTGCATTATCAATGCCTCATAATTGCTTCAGTGAGACACATACACACTATCATATTGTGCGTACTTCTATCCACTCCCTCGTGGAGATATTTTTAGGATGGATACTCCGAGTTGGTATGAAGCCCCGAGCAAGTCGGTGCTGTATAAAGTCATGCAGAATCCTTGCTGCCAGCATCATGCTGAGGCAGCGAGACCTTTCAAGTTACATCACTCTGGTCAAATAAGTCACACCTATAGCCGAATCCCCCAATATGGCACAAATATCTCTCAGATGCTCAGCTGTCCTGTGGCATAAAGAGGTGGGGCAGATTCTTTTAAACGGCTCTCTATCAGCAGCCAAAAGCTTCTTCTGAAACTTGACATGTGGATGCAGTCACTCTGGACCCGCTCTAAGTCATTTAATATATATAATGAGCAGTTACCTTTAGTGGAGAGTTTACTCTCTGGCTAACTTTCGCTCCGAAGTTACAGACATGATATTTGCTGCCCAGAATTTATCTGAAACTATCACCTGTCATAGCTCGGGAAAAAAAATTATCACACCATGAAGCTCTATAGTTTGTAAAGCAGGATGCTTCCTAATAGGAGAAATGTTCTTCCGTACATGCTGGCTTCTCTGAGAACACAGAGATAATGTGCACTATGAACTCTGCAAGCCGGCAGGTGTCCTGCAAAAATAAGGAATTTTGCCACTGGAGCAGAATCAATACCAGGCTATTATAAGTAGGAAAACCCAAAATAAGGCATGCAAGTGAAAAAGTCTTAACACGCTGACCATTGTGGGTTATCCTCGTCCTTACCCTAGCTTTGGCCTACTGTAAATCATCAGAGGTTAGATCCCTGCATGCTGTTCTAATCTCACACCGTCAATGTCAGCTTTGATGTTGAGCCGATCCAGATAACATTCAGGTCAAGTCCAAGTTACTGTACGGCACATTTCTTTGCACAGCCGAAAGGATGCTGGAGCTGCGAGGCATTAGTTGCCTATCTCGCCTAATTCCAAGCCCGAAATTTCGAAAATCCCCCATGCAGCAAACAACGCCAAACAAATAGGTCAATCGCATGTGCATCTTATTACCTCTTATCTGTCAATGTCAAAAAAAGCAGTCAGCCAAATATTTGGAGAAAAATCGGACTTGTCAGTCTTGTAATGACGCACCGGATGAAGCAAATCGACCGATGACAAATCCAAAGAGGAACAAGGTGATGGCAGAGTTGGAAACACACCACGGATCATGGGGGAAAAAGAGGTCGTCTGCAGACTGTTAACATGAAATGTTGTCAGCGCTTCTTGCTGATCCAACAACCGAGCGGTCCGCCCCTCTGTAGTGAGAGCTTTTAGGAGGAGAGGAGGAGGAGGAGGGGGGGCACCTTCAACAAAAACGCCAAAACGTGTTATTTAAAAGGCGATAGGGCGCAAACCTACCTGATGACCTGCCACTCGTTTACAGCATGCGAGCTGACTTGGATGTAGGCGAGGCGACACACACCAGCAGCGGTCCAGCTCAGCCTGCCTGCCTCCTCCACGGTGTCAAGCCCCTCCTCGTTTATCGTACAGTGGAGAGAGATGAGGGGGGGGGGGGGGGGAAAATGAGAAAACGACCACATTTCTATGCGGCGCAAAGAGGAAGCGGCGTCACCCCTCATCCACGCTGACTCCTATTTCAAAATTTGGAACGTGATCGGGGAAAGACTGATGATAAGACTCACATTGATTTGAAATGAGTCCGAACCGATGAGGTCAAACTGCGAACCGGGCCGGGCGCGCATTAAAATGACAGTATGGAGTGACTGAGTATATGTTGGAAATGCTGTGGATGGGCGCTTTGAAAAGCACCTTCCGAAATTGTGTGAGCAGAGGAAGATCCACATTCCCTCTTCTCACAGATGACAAGAAAACTGAGGAGGATTTTGCCTTCATCTCCTGATAACCACACAGCACCAGAAACGTGCAGTGTAGCTCAGATTGATGCCATAGTGTACATCTGGGAGAGTGTGTGTGAAATAGTCCACCCAGATTTGGATCATTTTGATAGTTATCTTGATTCTTTATGTCTTTATAGAGAATGAGTCATAAACACACATTTTTCTTAGAAAAACGCTTATGGATGGAAATAATTATGTCACATCTTTACAACATCTAGAATGTATGTTCAGTGTATCAATTCTTTAGAGAACCTCCCACTCAGGCAGCCAAGTGTAGAGAGCTTTGGTTTCCTGAGCACACACTGCCTCCTAATGGAGATGTCAAAGATTTCACGGTCTGTTTGAACGGGGAGATAAAAAAAAATAAAAAAAAACATTTGGCCTTTTCACTAACCAACTGAAAAATGTTGATATTGAGAAATTGAGCACTTCCCCTTTCTCACATGATTATAATCACCTGTATACCCAACTACTGTCTCTAGAAATCTAGATATTGATTTTATTTCTTTCATATATATTTAAGTTAATCTACATACCTATCATTTTAGCTCCCTGTTGGTTTCCAAAGAGGTTTGCTGAACACAATGGTGCTAGGGATGAGATGTGAGGAGCTGGGAAAACATTTCTGAGAAGTACCTCATTTAGGAAACCTTCCCAGCATATTGTTAGCCCTGACATCACTCTTTCCCTTGGTGCCAGGTAACACAAAGCAATCATGATGCTCCACTTGAACCTTGTCCTGTACAAAGTGGAGCTTTTATCTTCATATTTTAGGATCTTTCCAGAATGAAGAGCCACTTGAAGCCAATTTAGGAGTGTATCAAAAAGACTACCTTTGTTGAAGAGGCAGCACTAGAATAAACACCATCTTTTTTTGTCCCTGACACTGTTTGAATCTATTACATAAATGATTGATCTCTTTGTTCGTTTCTCAAATCAGCGGAATGAACGGCAAGTAATAGTTAGACTTCTGTGTCAGTCCCCTGAAATAGCCAAAACCTCTCAGTCAAGCACAAATCATTCATAATCCAGTACAGCTGCTTCCCGTTACACCACAAGAGGGTAGCACCACGTCTGAATCAGTAAATGTCTAAGACCTGAGGAGTAACATTCATTTAAAGAAGTACTGTCATTGTCAATTTTGCTGATGTAAACTTGCTGACATTGCCAGTAGAAAATTGCTAACATAGTGCCTTTAAATCTTTTACATTACTGAGTGTATGATCTTCTGTCTCTCTCTCTCTACATGTATATATATATATATATATATATGTGTGTGTGTGTGTGTGTGTGTGTGTGTATAATTCATAGTGTAAAAGTAAACATAATACAAAACATGAAAGCGAGTTTACCTTGTGTAGTTTCAGAGAACTAAGTTAGACACACCATGTACGTAAAATAAAACAAACAAATACATGAATTTTGAGCTATTTGTAGGAAAGGAAGTTGTGCACTTTCAAAGCTTATCTAGCTGGACTGCACAGTATCTACTTATGGGGGCTTTGAGCACAAGTGTGATTTGGATATTTCCATGGGAACCAGCTGCAAGGGGAGAGAGCGATAGAGACGGAGGGAGGAACGGGCTTGAGCGGCACAGGGGGCGTGTTTTAGATTTATTGGTTTGCTGCCTCATTTAAACCGCCTTCATCTCTCAAACAGCCAGAACTTGCCGACCCTCCATCTGCTCTCAACCCAGCAACACCTTACCCAGAGTGATCAGTCTATCCAGTTTGTCTTTTATCCAGTTCGGGACCACCTTGTGGATTAGCCATACCTAGACAAAATAAGGTAGGCAAACTTTCTTACAAAGATAATCATTATATGTTTACTGTTTATATGCATAATGACTTAACTTTTTTGTCATAAAACAATACTAAACCCAGTTTATATTTTCTCATTTTGTAGATTCCTTACTACAGTAAACCCATGTGGGTGGTGGAGAAGATTCGCTTGTCAGTAGAGAGAACTAATCTGCCCATTCCATCAGCAGAACTCAGCTTTAGAATTGGTGATATCATGTTAGGAGAAAAATCTGACAAATCCAAAAGGATTTCTCTCTGTCCAAATATAATCACCCCTGATAACATCCCAGAGTTCTGCATCCCACCAACAATCCTAACCCTGCAGGAGATGAAGAATCCAGAGCAGAGAGCAACAGCTTGCACTATCAAAGCCAGTCCTGAACCAGAAGTGACATTTCATGAGCCGCTCAATCCGCACATTATTCAGGTGGAAAGTGTGGATGAGAGCCCGTGTGATGGCTGCAGTGATGAGGAGACTACCAACGCGGATCCCCAAAGCCAGGCTGCCTTGTCTCTTCCTCATTTGGCCAAAGCCCAGACCAGTTATGGCTTCTGCACTTTATTAGAGAGCCCGCACACTAGGAGAAAGGAGTCCATTTTCCATTCTGATCCGGGCTCTTCTCCCCTGTTGCTGCCGAGGAGCCGATCAAGTATGTGTACCAAAATTTCCCCTTGCAGCTCACCTTCTTCCTCACCCTCTTCATTCAGCCTTAACACTCTGACCTCCAAGCTTTCCCCGAGAGGCTACACCCTCAACTGGCAGGCCCCTCTGGACAGCGATACGACTTCCTCCACTGAGTCCTCTCCTTTCAGCTCCCCGCTGCTGAACAGGTACCCTGCCAAGTCCTCGCTTTTTAAAGCATTGAGCCATGAACTGCTGTTGTCAAGGAACATGAGGAAGGCAATGGTGTCTAGGAACAATTCCCTATCCACAGATGAGGGCAGTTCCACTGACAACAGCCCAAATATCATGAGGAGAGCATCGGAGGGGTTAGCGGAAGGCCTGCCAAGTAGCTACAGCCTGGCGCCACCCAACATCTTCCCCATGGACTTAACCCTGCACAAAGAGAGGATACTAATGAAGGAGAGGATAGTGCCCATAGGAAAAGATGGCAATCTGAGACTGTCTGCGGAGTACTGTCCAGATAATCAAAGACTACGGGTTCAACTTATCAGTGCAGAGGGCCTTTATCCTCTTTCTGTAGACCCCAAGCTTATCAACTGCAGCGTTAGCCTGTCTCTGGTCCCTGGAAAGGTCCAGAAGCAACGCAGCACAGTCATCAGAAAGAGTCGAAACCCCATCTTCAATGAGGATTTCTTCTTTGACAGCATTTCAGAGGAAGACCTCAACCAGAGATCGCTTCGCTTTAAAGTGGTGAATAAAATGTCCACCTTGAAAAGAGACTATCTCCTTGGAGATTGTGATTTGCTTCTGTCAAGCATTGTTTCATCATAAACCTAAATGTACTCAATATTAGTTTGCTATGTTCTTGTATATTTATTTTCATTTTTGTATTGTTAGACAATATTTTTTATTAAATTTTGAAAGAATAAAAGGAAGTTTATCTTGAATTATTTCCAACATTTCACACCACTATCAACATAACCTGATGATGAATTTTCATCCTTAGAAAGCATTTAGAAATATATGGCCTTTGGCAAACCCCCCAAACATACAATTGCATATGTTGAACTGGTTATTTATAGGTTGCCATTTCTTGGTTTGTCAATTAGGATAAAACATCAGATGATGTCAAACAGCTGCCATCTCATATTTCCTCTAAGCCTGTTATTTTCTTCCTGACCTTTTCAATGATTAAAAACATTACTAGAAACCAGAGACCTTGTTGTTGAGCTTTCATGTTTTCATCATTAAGTATGCAAATGTTTATCAGTTCACGTTCAGCTCTGTTTTTTAACAAAACAAAAAACAAACACATTATGCTATTTTCCATTAAAATAATCTGGAAATTATTTGAAACCTCAAGTATTTCTTTTTGCTGGAAAAACCTGTAGAAGATTTCCATGTAAGATTTACTGGATTTATTACAAACAGTAAGTAATATGGATTCAATCACAAAAGATTTTGAAATAGTTAAAAACATGATCTTTTAACTAACTATATACATATTTACTCAACTAAATGGGGAAACAGCTTGCAGACACCGGACGAGTATATCCTGTTGCACTCACTGATAAAGATCAGGCTTAAATGAACCAGCCTCCACTGTGTCGACTAGTTAAAGATTAATATGTTTCAGGCTTCTGAAAAACTCAGGTGCGGGACTGACAGATGCTGGCTATATACATAAGGATAAAACAATATACAACATACATAAAGCAAGAAGCATACACAAGAAGACACCCTAATTGTTAACTAAGACGCAAAGCTCTACCAGGAAATTTCTATTTTAAATGTCAACAGTGGCAAATGCTTTTCAACACGAAAATGTTCTCTTCGAATTTTGCTTCTTAGAAAACCCTCTGAACAAAAATCTTATGATCCACATTAAGATTAAACAAAAGATTCATTGTAGCTGTAAAATACGTCAATCCTATCTCAATCGTTCTGATAGAAATTAGGCTCTCTAACACACAATCTCTGTGGTAATTGTGTGTTTAAACATCTGATGTTTTCCAAAAACCAGCATAGACTACCAGAATGTTTCAGTAACTAAAAGTATGTTTGAACAGGATGTGTTTTCAGAGCCTGCATGGAGCTGATACTGTTGGACAATTTAGGTACTTATTGTCTCAATTATAAAGTAACCTGCCATAAATAAGGATAACCTGTTATTCCCCTCTCTTATCTATATATTGATACTACTAGAAGTAGTATTTTTGTTCTCTGAGCCAATTCTTTAATATGGAAGTCTATGCTTTCAAAACAGAATACCCAATGTTGGCTTCATCCTATTTTTCCATCGTTTCAATGTCAGTAAATAGATAAAAAAAAGTGTGTTTCTAATCAATCTTGGACTATGATTAAGAAATATGTTAAGAAATAATGCATTTCACTACTCCATTTGATAAATTATATGGAGCTGCTTATAAAATGGATTCAATTGAATGAGTTTGTCTGATTCATCATAAAAAAGACAATATTCTAGCATGATGAAAAGGAGATATGCTGTATCTTTAAAAAAATACATTTGACTTATTCAGAAGTTGGTTAACTTTGCTTTAAATATTTTTTTCCCCATTTATTCTCATTACTTGGTTATGTTATTGGTAATGTTGTTTCATTCTCTTGTGGAAATTTTAAAATAAAACACAATTGGACTCATGGGGTTAATCTGATTATTAGAAATGACTTCATATAATCTGAAGGAAACATCTGTCTCCCCATGAACTGTGCACCGTGAATACAAACGCTCAACAGGGGAAGTACGCTGGCATAACCTCAAGTGTCTTAAAATAGTTGCCAGGCTACCTTTATTCAAACAGAATGATTTTGTCCGTCTAATGCACATTTACAACCTGCATTAGAGAGGAAGCTAGAACTTACAACAACTACCTTGAGAACATAAACAGTATGCTTCAATATTGTGCTCTCTGTTCCATCAAAATATAGTCTGTGTTCAATAGGTACTCGAAATGGAAAAAAAAAAGTTTTTGTAACAAGATATCCAACCTCTCCCTTTCCACTAGCCATATCTCATTTGTCCATTTTACAGCTTCCCACGTAAAGGAGTCTGTTCAAACCAGTTTTCTTATCTTGTTTTCTGTTTTACCAGGCTTCTGCTTTTGGTCCAAAAAAATTTGATATACACTTGAACATTTAACACGTCAAATGGTTGACGTACACCTGCTTCTTTAGTTCTCTGGGTAAGATCTATTTGGACATCTGCCGTCATTCGAAAAAATAAAAATAAAAAATACAATTCCATGTGTTTCATTGGTATGAAGTAATGGTGTTTATTCCTTTTAAGCACATGTACAGTTCCTGTCAAACATCTGAATATTTTCAATGAATGGATATGTCAAAACATATGAATGGTTGTGACTGCATATGGCCTAAGATTGATCTTTTTCTTTTTTAACAAAAAAACATATAAACCAAATACTTAAAGCTTAATCTTTTCCCATTCGTCATTAATGGTGTTCAATAAACATCTTTAATTCTTAGAAGATCACCTGCTTGAAAAGGTCAGAATATTCCGTGATGTCAGTGTTGATTGTGCTGACAGAGACTGTTGTTTCAGGGCCATGACATCAGTGTTTTTATGGCCTTCTATTCAAACATACACTATGCTCAGTTCAGCTTTGTACCGGATTAGTGGAAGTAATGAGAGGGAAATCTAATATGTTTAACTTCATCATTACTGTGACGACAAGCCAGGAAAGCTCAAAACCAGATCTATCTGACACACACAGACACACAGACAAGACCAAATCTAGCTCTATCCTACTGTCAGGAATGACTCAAAACATACTGGAGACTCCAAAAAACACGTTAATGTATTTTATAATATATTCATTTTTTAAATAATGTGAAACAGATTTGATCCCCAGGTGAAAAAAAACAAACCTAATTCTTGTAGCAGTCTAAATATGGTCACTTTTTTGTCTGGCATGGTGACTGAGTGGCTTTTTAAATGTGTCTTTGTGCTTTTTTGATTTTATTTTTAGCTACACATCTGTACAACAATAGCACTAAACTGACCCGATGTAACCACGTGTCAGACGCTTTCTGTATAGTCATTTATAGTTTTTGACAAGACTAAATGCAGATTGTGGTGTATCTGCACGTAGCAGACTCAGCACTTAGCCTGTGCACCTGTCCTGTGTCACACCACTCACTCAGCCACATCAGGCCCTGCATGGAGCTGAGGCCAAGCGTGACCTGTTTAGTACATAACAACCAAACATTCTGTTAGTTGATTTTTTCTTCATATCTGATCAGACTTATATAAACAGAACATAGGGGTCTGAACTTTCCCAGCAGAGATACTGAGATCCCACATGATTCTACCAGGGTGCTACGGTTTCTGGTTGGTAAGCAGCTTCAGCCAAGCTTTACCTCTTTATTATTGAGATTATCACAGTTAACAAGTATAAGACTTTAATAATGTATAACCAAAAGTAGATCCATAATGACTTTCTACATGTGTTCATTTGTCAGTCAGCCCTGTAATAAATTGGACCATACTCGGGAGCAGGCACAAGCTGGTGTGATGGTTAATTGCATCAGGACAGGGATCAAGATGGAGCTTGCACAGTATTGTCCAAATAGCCATTACACAGCCAGGCAAACAGTGGATCACGACACGGGCCTCGTGAAAGCTTTGCGTGGAAGTGTGTGCGCCCAATGGGATATTTGTTTAGCTGGGGTTAATTTTAGCCCAACTTATGAACCATTAAGGACAGCATTCTGGATATGGTATGGATTCTTCTTTCTTTGGCATCTGCTTTTACAACAAATTCGACAAAAAATAAACCAACCCGACGACAGCTATATATAAAACAAATGTAAATAAGCTGTGACTCAGACGGAAAGATGACACTGTCTTCCTGACTGTCTTTCTCTGTTTTTCCTCTTCCAGAGCCCCGCTCCACTCCCATGGCAACGAGACCCAGCTCCAGGGGAAACCATGGAGATCCTGCCTTTCATGTGTGAGATGCTTTTATTTCGACACATAAGTTGATACAGGCCGTTTGATTCAGATTCAGCTCAGCTTCTGTCATGCTGCCGCTCACATCCAAAGCTTGCTGTCAATGGATGTGTTACGTGCATCTTAAATGAAGAGGGGACAAAATATGGGTAATACTTTGTGATATCCGCATGCTGTTTTCAGACAGATATATGAACAGTTTTCTCTGTAAATAGATGGACAGGTTCGACATACATTCTGATATATTTTTCAACCTTTTCCACACACATTGAGTATTTTAAGGGCCCACTGGTCCATAATGTTGTGACAGAAATATATTTATAACAACTGATATCAGTGCTTTTATCTAAAACCTCCTTGTCCTTGCCATCTTTACTTGTGTGGATAATGTCATTTGTCTGTATGTTTTTTTCTTGTTCCCTAGCTCACTTAAGAAAGAGAGACAAAATCCCATTTCCAGAAAAGTTGATACATTTTATTAACCAATTGTTCGATCACTCGAAATCAACTTGTTTTTGTAGTATCATAGGACATATAGCCTGATAGGACCTGATCATCTGTTTTTGCAGAACATTTAACAACAAACAGAAAGAAACGGTGACAGATAACCATCACAGGCCAGGACCATTCTGATTCTGTAGTAATAGATTATATTATGCTGAAAGATCATGAGGCTTTTCCTTATTGTCAAACACAAAAGTCTCGTGTGAAGTCTATGAATAGAGTGTGTCATTGTATCTAGATAAGAAGAGCTTCTTTATCAACATTAATCTGAGAAGGACAGCTGCTGTCATAACTGTGAAACCTCCATTATTCCTTGATCTAATCTTCAAAGTTTGAGACTAACACAGTGTGCAGTTTTGTTAATAAATTAGGCCCTTATGTAGTCAGTACTTT